ACGGGACAAGATGCAAAGGGAGTCCCATCGCCTACTGAAGGCAGAGCTGCAACACTCTGCAAAGCCGGCGTCTATTATCAATATTGCATTTATGCTTCTCGATACCACACGGACGTCGCACAAACTGATCACACCATTCAATCGCCAATAGTTCTGTATATGTTTATAGATGATCGGCTGCCTTCAATCGTTTTTCGACTATGTAAATGACTAATGAGTGACTCCGACAACTGATCAGAACTCCAAAGGCAAGCAATGCGCAATCCAAACTAGAACCAAGGGATTGGGCATGACACCGGTAAATGCAAGGGGAATCAACCGGGGAGTGATACCTGCACGTGGATCCCAAACAGTATATTTCTAGATCCCATCGGATGTAATTTGGAGCGGGATGCAGCTTACGTTCCCGAGGTGCTCGTTTTGTTCGGAGCAGGCTGCGGCATAGTATTGGGACTACTCAAGTACCTCTGCCAAAGAGAAGTCCCGGCAATCATGGTATGGAGATTACTCGGGCCTGCTTGGGCCTACCGCTGACGACGGGAAAGCCTGGATTTCATCGTATTGCACTAGTCCGGCCCACTTGGGCCTACTTGCCGACGGGAAATCCTAGGTTTCATGGTATTGGGGCTAGTTGGGCCTACTTGGGCCGACCCTTTGGCGACGGGAAATCATGGAATTCTTATCATTGGGAATACTCGAGCCTATTTAGGCCAACCTCTGACGATGGGAAATCCTGAATTTCCTAGTAGTGGGACTACTCGAGCCTACTTGGGCCTACCTCTGACAACAGGAAACCCTGGCGTTCATGGTATTGGGACTACTCGAGCCTACTGGAACCAACCTCTGACAATGGGGAATCCTGGATTTCATGGTATTGAGACTACTTGGGCCTACTTGGGCCTGCCTCTGACGACATATTCCTTGATATCATGGTATTGGGACTACGTGGGCTTACTTGGGCCTACCTCTGACGACGGGTAAGCCTGGATCTCATTGTATTGGGACTACTCCAGCCTACTTGGGCCTACCTCTGAAGACGGGATATCTTGGCTTTCATGAAATCTGTTTAAGAAAATCGGAACCCCTCAAGTGCAAGCACTGCCTGGGGAGCAATCAAAGGATAGACAAAGGAGCCAGCACCGACCACCTATAAAAAAGAAGTAGATCCGTTTGTACATGGATAAACCTTGCACTAAAAGGTATTGCCTTCCGAAAAACACACAGTGCGGTGCCTAAATGTATCGTGTTGAATTATAATGCATTGCATTGCAATGCATGGTTTTGCAACATATTGCCTTATAATATAATTTAATGCATGAGGTTATCCTTGTTTAAAAAGTCTTTCCTTTTATAGTATTACAATGCGTTGCAAGGTACTACACTACAATGTTTGTATCATGTTGCATTAGATTGCTGGCATCGCGTTGCCCGGCACTTCCCAAACATGCGATGCATATGGGGTTCTTACTTTCTGCGACTTAGAACTGATGAAGTGAATGGCGGGAGGAAACTTGTCGTTGTTCCCGCTGCCTCCCGTTGCTGGGTAGAACGAGCACAGCCCAGCAAGTTGCTGCTGCCGCTGCTTCCCATTGCCTCCCTTTCCTTCCCGTTGCTCCCCGTTGCTCCTCGCCGATCTCCGTTGCTCCCCGTTGCTTGGCAGTGCTGGGTGGAGCGCGTGCCGCCCCCAAGAAGCTGCCGCTGCCTCCCGTTGCTTCCCATTGCTTCCCCTTGTAGGGTGGCTCCTCCTCCTCCTCCTCCTCCTCCTCCTCCTCCTCCTCCTCCTCTCTCCTCCCTCCTCCTCCTCCTCCTCCTCCTCCTCTCCCTCCTCCTCCTCCTCCTCCTCCTCCTCCTCCTCCTCCTCCTCCTCCTCCTCCTCCTCCTCCTCCTCCTCCTCCTCTTGCCAGATGGAGCGGGTGCCGCCCAGAGAGTCGGCGTTGCCTCCGTTTTCTTCCCGTTGCTTCCTATCGAATCCTATTGCTTCCATGGCTGAGTGCAAAGAGCCCCCATCACAACATATTTTGGGTCGACGCTGGCATACTTGTTTTACATCGTATCGCATGCTACAACATTACATCTCATTGCATAACGTTGGTTTGCATTACTCTACAGTGCGTTGTGCCAGCAGGTTGCACACGGACGAAAACAAAAGCAAAGCCGGCAAGATAAATCCCACGAAAAGGCATACAAGAGGCATTACACGAACGGAACGGCAGCCACCGAAGCAAGCCACGCATAGAGCGCTGGGAAGCAACATGGAAACAACATGAAGGCCACAAGGGAAGCTGTATGCCAAGAAGCAGCGCAGGATCACACTCGCTGCAAGAAGGCGCCCCAGAAAAGGAGCCAGAAGGCCAGCCAGACATGAAATTATCGGAAACAATGCCAAAATAAACGAAAGCAGAAGTCAAGGAAAGTCAACTGGAGGCACAGAATTTGGTGTACGCACGATGCATTACGGGAGCAGCATAATGAGTCCCAGTAGAGAGACCTGGCGCGGAAAGCTGAAGAGCAACACGGGATGAACGCCAGGAAACAGCACCAGAATGGAAACCACAGAGGAAGCCACACATGGGGAACAATCAGTTGGTGGTCGCCCACTGGAACTACCAGGAAAGCAACAAGAGAAGCAGCACGAAAAACACAAGTGCTTAAGGAGGGTGGGGGATCAGGTTCAATGTCCACCAACAAGCTAGGTAGCCTTTGGGGGGAGGAAACATGCAGCCACGGCCAGTGACAACAATTCGCCGTCCTCTGCGGCGTGTAAGATCCCGTGAAATTATCCTTGCTTAGATTCTTATCTTGTTACATACTAGGATCTAAGATCTTATCATCTTGAGGGGGGTGGGACATAGCACCCTTGGGACATATAAATCTCACCCGGGCACCCTTTTTGGCCGCTCTGGGCTCACAAGTTCGAGTTTCGTTTAATGAGCGTTTAAGTTATTGGGCCGCTCTTGGCTGCAGCGTATTCTCCTGAAGTGTTCCAGATGTTTTTAAATCAATTTTGGACCCCTCTGAGGTCGATGTTGATTTGGATTTGTTTCAAGTGTGTCTGGAGTCATTTCTTTTAATAAAAATGCGAAGGTTCAGAAAGTCACATTTTTCACAATGGATTTTACATTTATTTTGAAGCGAAGAAGTCCGAAAATATTAACAACATTTGAAAAACAATGTTGCATTCTGAAGTTGTCGCAGATACCGTTTCCGACACCATTTTGGCACCATGTTTGCACAATTTTGGCTCAAATTTAGCTCCATGTCGGCTTCCATGGAACTCTCCTACCGCTACCTTGGGGCTGTTGGGGGGCTCCCGGGAGCTCTGCAGACACTTCCTGGGAGCCTCCAGGAAGCTTCCAGCCGCATTTTGGGCGCCTTGGGTCGCTATTTATCCCTGTAGAAAGCTTGGGGGGTCGATTTTGGATCGATTTCTGAACCGATTTGAAAGAGATTTGGACGGAATTGGTGATAGACGACAACGAGAATGACAATGACAGCGCGAAGATCAAAGGTAAACCAGATAAATACGATACTCGCGTTTTCTGTTTGCGTCATGTTTCGGCGGACAGTAACCATCGACAACGACAACGACAACGCTAATCACAACGACAACACCAACGAAAAGAACGACAAGGAACGAGACCGCGACAGCGACGACAAGGACGACGACGATGACGATAGCGACAACAACCAGGACAACGACAAGCGCAAGAACTTTAAGGACAACGACAACAATAACCACGACAGTCAAAACGAGAACGGCAACGGCGACACAAAACACAACAGCATCAACAACAACAGCAGCAGCAGCAACAACAGCAACAGCAACAACAACAGCAACAACGACAACGACAACGACGACGACAACGACAACGACAACAACGATAACGACGACAACGACGACAATAGCGACATCATGTCTCTCCTCGCATGTTTCTCCTCTTTCCTCTCTCATGTCCTCTGTGCCCTTCGCTCTCTGGTCCCACTTCCCCCCTGCCCGCATATCGCTACCATGTGGACGGGGAAGGCGGAATGTCCAGAACTCTTGAGTAACCGAATAGAACATGAGGATTTTGGAATGAATGTCAGTGGAAACAGATCACAACTCTAGTGGACAGCAGCAAGGGCATCGGCTAACCCGAATAGCATGGGAGTTCACTATTAAGCGAAGAATTAACGATGGTTAAAAGAGACGCAATGCAAACGGGAAGCGCCATTCCATTGAATTCGGTTCCAACGTATCCCCCTAAGGCATGGTAGAATTCCCAATCCCTATGCGGTCTCCACGGGGCCAGCCTGGAGACGCAAGAGGTGGGACGGGCCACCAATTGGAGAGAAATTGTGCCAGGAGTTCTCCCGCAATTCCGTGCCTTCCCCAAGTGACTCCAAAGAGATTGGACATGAACACCTCAAGAAAAAACAAGAAGAACATAACCAAACGTATTGAAAAAGGGTATCCACATCAATACCACTTCAAACCACCAAGAGAAATAAGTCGTCACATAAGAGTCAAATGAACAAGAAGACAACCGTAAGACACACTAGAATGATGCCACTGACAATATCAGGTTTTGATGCTACGAGCAATTCCTGGAGTAGGCCTGACGAGTTCAAGCAATCTCAAACACAGATCACGTTGATACTTTGGCTACCAACGAATCTCCGAAAACCTCCCAGATCCCATATAGAAAAATTGACTGATCCTGAAAACGGTTGAAAACTACATTCTTAGATCTCCGATTCAGGTCCAGATGGCATCCCCCAGAGGCGCAAATCCATGGCTTTTCAAAAGCACATTCCCCCAAAGCGATAATCGTTTTCAATCTGTGAAATCCCGTATGTGCGCAGAGGGGTCGGCGGACTGGCGGAAGCTACTTGAACTCAATATGACAGCTTCCAGAATCAATAATATATGTGAACACATATATACGTATATATGTGAATATGCACTCTTACACATCACATCAGCTGTGCGATGGCACACGCGAGGCAAAGGAAGCCTCTCACCACGCCTCAGAAGGTGGTCCGGCAATGAAGAGCTCCTGCCAATGATCGGCTCAACAAAAAACACCGTGGTCACAGAATGCGAAGATGTATAGTAAGAATAGAAATTTATGACAGCAACACTAAAAGCAAACCCTATAATGCTTTACGAGTTCATTTGTTGTTCATAAAAGTGCACATGGCTCGTCGCCATTACGGTTGACAGCAGGGATGATCGGCCTCATCGTTAGGTTGAGAATCCTCATTACACCCATCGCTGTGGCCCCGAATCTGGTTTGCAACCCTGAGCGAAACTGGCAGTGTACATCTAATAACTAATCAAACTTATTACAACATCGACCCAAAAAATAAGGCACACTAATGGAAAGCAATGCTGAGAAGCAATTCTGAGGACCAGTATTGGGAAACACAACCGGAATGCGATACTGGGAAGCAAAACGCTGGGAAACAAACGATTGCCAAACACAATTACCATGCGGGCGAGGACTACCACTCCAAGGAATCGCTTCTGGGAGCAACACCTGGGAAGCAAAAATATGAAGGAGCAAAGCTGGGAGGCAAAATCATACTTTTGGTGCAAGACCTACCACTACTGGGAAGCAATATTGGAAAGAAAATCCGCCGGGCCATCGGCCCAGGGCGTATTAGATCCTGCGGACAAGGCTGTTTTACCTGACCCCCTCCCCTATATTCCCCTCCCGGTGGGTCCTTGGCGGCGAAAGAGCGATACTGAACTCTTCTTGGACGCTTCCTCGACGCTTTCCTGGAGAGCGTTGTGCCCTTAAAGAACCGTCTTGGGCAATTTCGGTACAATTTTGGGAAGTCGTTGGCGCCATTTTGGGTCGTCTTGGGGCCTGGGGCGCCATCTTCGCCTCCAGGAAAGTATCAAGAGCTTCCAGGACGCCCCCAAAGAGCGCCCAAGACGCCCCCACGACGCCCCCAAGAGCGCCCAAGAGCCTCCCAAAAGGCCTCCGAGACCCCCTCGGAGGGATGAACATGAGCCGAAAACCATGGAGGGTTGTTCAAAAATTGACTTTTCGTACATCGCCGTTTGCGTGACATCTTGGGTCGTCTTGTGGCCATCTTGGGGCCCTGTTGGGGCCGTCGTGGGCCATCTTGGGGCCTCTTTGGGCGTCTTGGGGCCGTCTTGGACCATCTTGGGCGGTCTTGGCGCTATCTCGGGGCCGTCTTGGGGGCCTCTTGAGCGGTCTTGGGGCGTCTTGGGAACGTCTTGGGCAGTCCTGGAACGTCTTGGGGCCGTGTTCGGGGGCCTCTCGGGCTGTCTTGGCCCGTCTTGGGAGCGTCTTGGGCGGCCTTGGGGCTGTATTGGGGCCGCCTTGGGGCCGTCTCGGAGCCCCCTCCCCCCCAGACGCCTCAAACAACCAACAACCAACAACCAATCAACCAAACAAGAAAACAAGCAAACAAGCAAACGACCAAATAACTACACATCTCGGCGGGCGGAATGCGCGGAGCGATTGAATGATGCAAGCATTGCTACATCGAGTTAGTGTAGGAGGTAGAAGCCCCTTATGTTACGCGAATTAGGGAATGATTGACAACATATCGTGTGGAGATCCAGACACATTCAATTGAGATACTCAATATCGATCATTCGAGTCCTACTGATTTGACAAAATTGCTTGTTCGCCCTGAGGGCGGGTCTGGAATTTCTCGTTACATGAACAAGCGTATCATAATGAATGTCCCAGCATGGGATTGATATGGATGCCCAGAAATCCTCAAAATGAAACCTGTTGCCTTCTTTAGAGATCCTTTCACCTGCAAAGAGCAACGACTGCCCAAAACGATACCAGGGTAACCAAATTTCGTGGTGGGATCACAGGACAGAAACGGAACACAAGAAAACCATGCTGCAGACATTTTGGGCCATCTTGGGACCGTCTTAAGACCATCTTGGGGGTGTTATCGTGGGGCCTTCGCATCAGCTTAAGCTTCTCGGGCCCCTCTTGGACTGGCGTGGGCTTCCCTCGCAGCTTTACGCAATGGTTGCTTCGGCGTCCGACTTGGACCTCACAGGCTTGTCTTGGCGCATCGTGTGGACATCTCAGGGCCATCTAGGGTCATCTTAGCCTACACAAGGCCATATGAAAACCATTTGAAAACAACGGGCCCCAAGGGTACAAAAACGTTCTAAAAAACATTCGGAAAGGCACTCGTTGGAGACATATTGGGGCCATCTTACAACATTTTGGCACCACCTTGGATGGCCCCGGAGCCAATGGCCCCGGAGCATGCATCCTCACCTGGAATGTCTTGTTATGTGCTCAACTCGCTTCTGAATATCCGCCGAACCCTCCAAGCTCGAGCGCGCTGGACATGGCATGATCCTGGCCGTCTAAGTCGCCTAAGCCTCCTTCATCCTTCTGACCTCCTAAGCCTCCTGGCCTCCTAAGTAAATGGTGCCAATAATTCTCGGGGGGGGCCCGGGCAACGGCTTGGTTCATTGAGGCCGTCTAACATCCTACCCCCAGGAGCCTCCAAAATCAATGAACATCAATAAATATCAGATAATGTTCATGTTGATCCTCGGCCTTCTAGACCTCATCGCCTCCCAAGCTTCCTGGCCTCCTAGGCAGCTGTTGTCAGTAGGTTTAGGGAGTCAGGGGGACAGTTCCCCTCATAGCTTGGTTTAGCACCGTCCTCCTGGGAGCCTCGAAAATCAATGAACCTCTTGGCCTCCTAAGCTTCCTGGCCCCCCCAGGCAGCTGGTGTTGATACGGTTTGGGGGTCTTGGGGTCCAGTCCCCGCCTCGACGAAAATCAACACATATAACATAATGCTCATTTTGTTCTTAAGCCTCCTAAGCCTCCCGCCCTATACAACAGATGGCGTCAATAGGTCTTGGGAGTCCGGGGGAGGGCTTGCCACTCGAGTCTATATCGCATGCTACCCCTGGAAATATCCCGCAAGTCTGCCAATGCCTCCAAGCTCGAACATGCTAGAATAGCACCAGTTGGCTTCCCAGGTCTTGGGGTGGTTCCAGGGAGGCGAATGGTTTACTCAGGCCGGTCAGCGCCCTAAACCTGGGGAGTTTCTGAGATTAATGGAAAAGCAGCAACTCTCACATATTCATCGTATTGCTCCTAAGCCTCCCAAGCTTCCTGGCATCCTGGGCAATTGGTGCCAATAATTGATTTGGGTCTGGGGACGCTTCCGTCCATAGCTTGGATTAGCACACTGCACGGAAGCCTCTAAAACCAATCACAAATAAAAAACATATTATGTGATGCTAATGTTGCTCCTCGACCTCCTAAGCCCGCTGGCCTCCCGGGCCTCCTAGGCAACTGGCGTCAATAAGGTTTGGAGGTCAGGGGGAAGGCCTGGGAGCGATCAAAATCAGCAACATTCAACAAATCTCACATATTGCCCATATCGCTCTTGAGCCTCCTCAACCTCTGGGCTTCCGAAGCCTCCTAGGCAGCTGGCGTCAATTGGCATTGCCCTCAGAAGTCAATATAGCATGCTACCCCTGGGATCCTCTACAATCAACGAAATCAACAAATACATCATATTGCTTATATTTTCCTGGGGCTCCTAAGCCTCCTAGCCTGCTAGTGTCAAGTGAGTCACTATACTTGAGTGCTCGGCGCTCCAAGCGTAAGCCTTTAATTGATTGTTCCTCACATGTAAGACGGCAAACACTACTCCGAAACCAGTTGGGTCAAAGCTCCACTAAGCGCTTGAGAAAACAAACTGGAGCACGAGCAAGAAGACGAAGGAGGCAGAAGTAATAGAAGGTAGGACAAGAAAGCAGAAGCAAACAAAACAACTGAAAAGCAAAAGGAACCCAAATTGAGGGATCGCAATATCTTGAAAACAATGATGCTACATCTTCTCATGTTTAGGGTCGACACTGGTGTACGTTTCGGTAGGTTTCGAGGCTTAATCCCTGAGGTAGCCCAGACAACGACAATGACACATCTGAATTTTCGCAATGGGAATAACGAAAAAGAATCAGTGCGAGACCTAAACTCAAGTGATCAAACTATACATAGTCTTATGTTTGTTTAATCGACACTAGCATGTGCGTACATACTCATTTCTGTGTGGTGGTCTACAATAGCACGCAGACAAGTCCTCGATCTGCCTCACGAAGGCCGCGGGAAGCAAATCTCGAGCGCCACGGCAGAGTCCTGCTAGAGGTATGATGTGGCGTATGTGTGTGTGAGAAAGAAGAACGCAAAAACTGCTGCATGTTTATGTGATTTCCAGCGATGCGTTCCGCGACAACAACGCAACATTCTCATATCCGCCGGCCCCCTGGAAGCTCGGCGTGGTCAAACATGACAAATGTGTTGAAAAGGCTGTTTTGAACATGTGCACGCTGTGTGTAAGCATATATCATAACGTCACCTTCGTGGACTCAAAATTCACGTCAGACTGGGCTGATCGGCATGATGAAACTTTCCATGCAGATTATCTGAACCAAACCAGCTGCCCCCTCCAAGAATAATATCTGCACATGCATATGCGAATGCTTTTGCCGGTGTAGCACCACGACCACAAGCAGAAGGAAGCCAGAGGAACCTAGAGAGCCAAAGGAAGCAAACACAAACAAAAACCGAAACAAACAAGTATGAAGAAGAAGAAGAAGCAACGCGGAGCAAGAGTAAGAAGATCAACGAAGTAACAGGAGCTGGAGCTGGGCGGCTTAGACTGCCGCATTGCCAGAATGTAACCAAAGTGCGCAAAAGAGAAACAGAAACACACAAAACAATAAAGAAACAGAAGGAAAAACAATATGGAGCAAAAATATTTTTCAAGAAGAGGCAAGAGGGGAGGCAATCTATGACTGGAACGAGCCTAGGAAACCGCGAGATGCGCAATCTCCTGCGAACAAGAATGCTGCATCTTCTTAGGTTTAGGGTTGACGCTTGTGTATGTTTAGGGCAGCTTGAAGCTTGATCCCTGCTGAACTTGCCCGGACAATGACAATGATGCATGTGAATTTCCGCAACGAGAATACTCAGCGATCATCCTGTAAAAATGTTGATGTTCGTTTAACTGACCCTCAAAATACCTATTGGGCTCGGCGGTAGCATGTGCGTACATACTCGTTTCTGTGCGCTGGTCTACAATAGCATGGACACAGATCCTCCATCCGCCGCACCACGGCGGTGGCGAGCCAGGGTCGAAATGCGCGGCGAGGTCCTGCTAGAGGCATGATTTGAATGCGCGCATGCGAGAGAGAGAGAGAGAGAATTACAATATCACGCCAACAGAACTACCAGCACATGATCGCTTGGAGTGAGATCCCCAATGACCTGAACAGAAGGATGGAAGCCGGCGATCAGCCCCCGTGGGTGATCATGTTTAGCTCCAAACACTGAAAGCACCAAAGTGCTTTTAAGGTCCAACCAAGCTCCCAAGAATCACAACCAGAATTACATCAAACAATGGGAAGTAATTTGAATTATTTCACGATGCTCTTTCGTGCGAGAGACCTGTGCAAGCATTACATGTAAATCGATTGCATGTGTATGTGTTTCCAGCGATGCATTCCAAGACAGTTGAGCAACGGTTACATATCCGCCAACCCCCTGAAAGCTCGGCGTGTTAACACATAACATCCTGCGAACCCTGAAACCATCAATCCTTGGTACCGTACGGGGGAGGGAGTTCTACGGAAGGAGGAATCCGCTTGGTGCATCCAGATTGCTTCAGACTCACTCGGCGTTGCGACCCCGGGGCCGCTTTTAGGACGATAGAACGCGCAGGTTGAGCCCTCTAAGCTTTCGAATATTCAAGCGAGAGCATCAGCTCGCTTCCAAGAAGATGCGAGCGAAAGCACCACGTTTAGACCCAAACACTATGAAACACATGTCTTGGGAATTCTGATTCCTCACAAGTGAAACCGCGTCCTGGCAACTTTGCCTCCCAAACTCGAGTGAGGGCATCACTTTCGACATCCAAATGTGAAAAGACATATGTCCAAAGAGCTCCGATTCTTACAAAACTCTGGTGAGACCATAACTGTTGACGCCCAAAAACGAAAAATATATGCCCCGGGAGCTCCGATGCCTCCAAAATGTTCAAAAACATTACTCGGGGAACATCAACACCTCCAGAACTTAAGCAAACAAGCAAACACATGCCCTGGGAGCTCCGACACTTGCAAGGAAAACAAGAAAGCATGAGAGAATGAGTGCCCTGAACCCGAACATCTCAAAACATTACAAAACATTAGAAAACACGTCTCCTGGAAAATCCGACGCCTCCAAAACAATCAAACACCTAGGGAAACACACGCCATGGGAATTTCAACACCTCTAACAAATTAGATCACAATAGAAAACAAGTGTTCCGCAAGCCCGGACACTTCCGAAATGTACAAAGCTGTTAGAAAACAAATATGTTCGGAACTCCAACACTAAAAACAAAAGGAGACTGGAAAACCACCTGTCCTTCAAATTCAGACACCCCCACAAAACAAGAAAACATTGGAAAACACCTGCCCTGTGAACTCCGACATCTCCGAAATCATCAGTTCCATTTTTCTCGGGTCGGTGGCAAGGCGTAAGCCTCGAACTTATTATAAATAGGTGCCCTCTTAGGGACATGTCAAGCCATCTCGAAACTCTCCTGACCCAACTTGCGTCACGATTCTGGGGACACCATGGGATGCAATTAAGTTATACGGCACGACTCCTTCCTGGACTAAGATATGCCACCCTGGCGCTATGCTGAGCTATGCAACGCTATCATGCTATGATTGGAGGTTGGGGGGGTGAGAGCTTTAGCTACCCCAACCGGGAAATGCTCTGCAAGAGGGGCGTGATGCGAGTGAGAAAAGGCAGGGACTGGGAAACATACCTGGGGGCTCAAATTAGTGTGCTTCTTCTCTTCTCCCCTTCTTCTCTTCTCTTTTTCTCCGCGTTCTGGCTCGTAGGTGAATGCTGAGTGGTGAGTGAGAGTATGAGCGTGAACGTGAGCATGAGAGTGAGAGTGAGCATGAGAGTGGGAGAGTTCATGAGAAAGTGAGTAGGAGTGAGAGTGAGAGCGAAAGGGAGAGTGAGAGTGAGAGTGTGGATGTGTGTGTGGTGAGTGGTGAATGGTGAGTGGTGAGTGAGTGTGTCAGCGTGAGCGTGAGCATGATGGTGAGAGTGAAAGTGAGCATCCGAATGAGAGCGAACATGACAAACGTGTGAGAGTGAGAGTGAGCATTACAGTTAGGGCGAAAGTGTGTGTGTGAGTGTGAATGTGATTTTGTGGATGTCATTGTGAGAATTGCGTGAATCGTTAGGAATGTTTTGTGAATTCCGTCCCCTCCCCCAACCTCCTATCATCCCGCGGGTGGCTTATCGGTACATTACATTATCGTACGCTATGCCCCGCCGCATTGAATGCGCGCTGGTATGCTAGACTGTGTTATGCTATACTAGGCTGTGTTTTGCAGTGCTATGCTATGCTGAACTTAACTATGCTACCGGATGCCGCACTAGGCGATGATATGTCCTGCGCTGCCATGCCATGCCATGCCATGCTGTGCTGTGCTATGCATTTCTCAGCCCAAAGGCCACCAATGAGATGGCGTCACAAATCTAAATAACCACATAGGTCCCATTATACACAAAAAGCAATATTGACTTCACTGTTGATTTCGGCACCTGTCCAACACACCTGGTTCAGAATCTGCCACGGCCAAGGAACCTACAGAAACTTGCATTCCATCGCACATTATTTACGGTACTTACGGCGCTGGCTTATCATGGCATACCAAGCTACGCAGCACCAGTCATGCTACGTTACGCTATTCTGCGCTAAGACAAACATATTATGCTATGCTACGCTGTGTTAAACTATTGCGTGCATTGTCAAATTCGGTATCATGAGGTATGTTAAATTACGAAATGCTGCGCAACGCTGAGCGAAGCTATGATGTGCTAAACTATGCGAATTATGCAATGGAATGTTACGGTGCATTTCGATGTTAAGCTGGCCACGCGAATCGGCGCTCCCTAATGTTCCACATGATATGCTACCGGAACGTGGACCCCAAACAGCGCGTTCCTTCCGCAACTCTCTCTCTCTCTCTCTCGGCCAAGCCAGCAACCAGATGGAAGGTCTAAGACATAAGCCAAGGCTAGTGGGCCAGCCATGCAAGCGAAGCCAGCCACCAAATAGTGGGGGCCAGCTAGCGAGGGTCAGCCCAGCCATCCAAGCCAGCCACCAGATAACTGGTCCAAGACGTGGACCGAGGCAAATGGGAACTAGTAGGAGCCAGTCAAGCCAGCGACCCAGGCCACTGGCGGCCAGCTAGTGGGAGGTTCAAGATGACAGATGCCAATGGCGACCAGCTAGTGGGAGCGAACCAGCGGTGGGCAACTCATAGGGATCTGCATCCTCCGTTCAACTCCACCCACCACCCCTAGAGCCCACACCAGACCTCACAAGCCCGCTGTCCTTGTCTCCTTAGTTTTTCCAAGAGCTGCCCGAGGGAGGTCCGAGAACTTCAAGTTTGAGGAGCCAACCGAAAAGAGGAGCAAAAAAGGAGCGAAAGAAAGCAAGGGGAAATCAAAGCAAAAGGCAGCAAACGGGAGCAAAGGAAAGGACTCAAGACGCAGTGGAACGCAAATAGAAGCCGTTGGAAGTAAAAGGAATCAGTGGGAAGCAAATACCAGAAATGCTGATCAAAGGCTAGCAATAGTAAACCAAGGGAAGCAAAGGAAAGCGACAGGAAGTAATGGGATATAAAGAGTAGTAGAAGCAGGCTATAGCGGGGACACTTTGCATGCAAGCTGTAAGGACATTTTTCGCAGAGGCACTTAGGCAAGCAAGGGAACTGCGTGCGGAATGGGCCGCAACGAAAGCAAAAGGAGGCACAACGCTACAACAACTTGCAAGTCAACAACGCGAACATGCTCGATAAGGATTGAGAAACCTTAGCGCTGTGCACATTTCATGAAAATGACGCCCTGGGATCTTCAAAACATTTGGAAATCATGATGGCTGTAAACAACCCCAAAACAGCTTCTCTAGCAATTTTCAAGGAGCATCAAATTTTGTGACGTTTCGGGTACGGTTTAGGGCGCCTTGCGGACGTTTGGGAGGCGGTGTGGGAGGCAAGAAAAAAGCAAGTGGGAGGCGTCTTGGAGGCGTCATGGAGCCCAGATGAGCAAAGGTGCTTGAGGCATCCCGAGATGAGCCCAAGGATCTCACCAAACATCAAAAAATACAGGCCGATACGTTTGAACTGGTTACATATCCCACCCTGGCACCCAAAGATCCATCACATAAATCCGTCACCATGCCTCCGTGCACGTTTGGAGTGTTTGGGGCCATGTCTTGTGTCTGTTCCTGTGGAACAGGTTTTCTTGATTGTTTCTAAGGGGCCGGGGGAGGGGGGGGCGGCTTGTGTTCTTCCCGAGGGGGTCCTCCACCAAAAAACAATTTAAAAATGTAACAAATTTTGATATAGAGTCTGAAGCCTGTTTTTTGGCTCTGAAGACGCTTTTTTGATGATTTTAAGACTCAACTTGGTTCCATCTTGGGATTTCGCAAATTTGTTGTGAATTTTGTCTTAACAGGGTATCTTAACTTGAGACCGATGTTTGATTGATGTTTGATTGAATTTTGTCGATGCTAAGGCCCGCCGAACCTTCAAAATTTGATTCCCGTCGATGCGAGAATAAAATTTGCACGTTTTCACAATTTCTGAAGTTGATCTCTGTTTTGGCTCCCAAAATGCTTTCAAAATGTCTCCCAAATCGATCCAAAATCGGTGCCAAGACGGTTCCGGAAGCATTCAAAATGTTGATGATTTGATCGATGCTTTCCAAGACCACCAAAACGAGATTTTGTTGCCAACATGGTCCCAACATAACTCCAACGTGGCGCCCAAGATGGAGCTAAACTGTCAACAAATGTCAAAAATATAAGAAAATCGTCTCTTGGGGCCATCCTGCCGTCCGGAGAGGTCCCGGGCCGCCCCCGGTGCGAGTTTGATGATTTGGGACTAATTGTGTTTTGTTTTTCGATATTTGTTGAGCTGCCCGCACATGTCTTCGGGTGCAGAAATTTATGGATGTCATGCTTGCCTTTTGACAGGTTCCTGTTCTTATTGGAAAGAAAATATGTATTTCATATGTAATTTTCTCCTCCATTAACATATTGAGTGTTTCTGGTCCACTGCCAGGCACGGTGGTGGAAGC